GAGATTTGATGGTTAGACAAACCGTATTCCTGTTGATCGAATCGAAGGCTTTATTCATATCGAGGGAAACCTGGAGGTCTCCAAATATGCCATCAATTGAATTATCTTTGTTGTGTGTTTGACAGCTCGCGCGGACCTGTCTGCAATGTTGGGAAATACGTAACAAACAATCAATAATATTCCTGCGTGGGAGATAGGCATTTAAAGGGAGACATCGAAATTTATCAAAGGAGTGTTACAACAATTGGGTGGTGATAAAATTCGAGGCAATCTTGCAGACAAGGTGTTGAAGGCATATGGGTCGAAGAGCCTGTGGCTTCGTGCTAGGCTTGCCCGGTTTTGGGATGAGGTGCAGCCAACCTGCCGTCCATTCATCCGGGGCTTGGGGAGGATTGACACTCCAATAGTGCGCTAAAGCTTGATAGGTCGAACTACGACTTTCCAAACAATGGCCGGCAGACTCGGTGGCGTCACTGCTTTGGTGGCCGACATGCGACGCAATACATCATACATGGCTTCTTCATCGAAGAGCAATATCTGAAGGGGTGTCAGGACCGGAGATTGAAAATCAAGGTCGTGAAATTGAATTCCAAATTATTGAACGAATTCATCAATATCCTATTGAGCGCTAAGTGGTTGACCATGATTATCAAGCATACGAATGCATTTAAACCGTTGCTTGGGGCAAAGCCGGCGGATTCTGCGAAAGAAATCGATGGATTGATGTCGCATGGCCAAGTCTGCACCCTCCTGGAGAAATATTTCGAATCTGGTCCGTTTATTGGTCTTGCTATATTGCTTGATCCGTTTGTGCAATGCAATGTCCGGTATCGTGTCAAATTGGATCACCCTTTAAACACCGATTTTAAATTGAGATCAGATAAAGCAAGGGCAACCTTACGGGCCTGCCACATCTGGGCAATGAGAGATCGAAAGGCAGGATCCAATGGAATCTGCTGCCGTACAGATGGAAAGCAATCTTTACATAACCGAACTAGATTTTATTCTATGCACAGGTTACGATCAATCGGTGATATCGCAGGCCCTGGTGTTGCAATGACCTGGCGTGCCTGATCGATGAATTGGGTCCACTGCTGGGTGTTCTGAGTCTAGGCCTGGCGGAGGTGAAATCGGTTGATACCCTCATGATTCTTTGGTTTGGGAGTTGGGACCCATTTAAACAAGTGCAAGCTCAGGGGATAGTGTCGCGGGCCTTGATTGCCAAACAAAAAATCAAAATCTGGATGATGTTTCGATTGCAATGTGCGCCAGGAGACCTGTTCCTTCCGTATGAGCACAAAATCTATCCGGGTAATATGATTACCATGCACAAAGGTGGGATTAAATATTTTGGTATGAACAGCAGCCAAATTGTGGTCCTGGACAAGTGATTGGAACAGGCAGGGCCCGGTCGGTCTGGGCAGCTCTGGCATACTTGGGATCCTTCATGAAGATATGTTGACCATCAAAATCAAGTGGTATGTTATAATCACCTCCTAATAAAAGAAGATTACGTGCTGGGATATGACGAATGCATTCCTAAAGATATATCCAGATTCGTTTTCGTTTTTGAAGCAATTGCGCTGTATTCCCATTTGATTTCCATGCATATTGATACACTGCATAAATGTCGTGGGAACGATACATTTGCAGGTGGATTTGCAATATCCTGTCGGGTATATGGTGAGCAATCGAAATGGCCTTTCGTGAAATCAGGGCAGTACGGACCATTACAAGGATTGAGGCAAATTTGTCGGCCCCATACACCACATGCCATAAGGGGGTACTCCACTCACTAGTCATGCGCCAGCCGGTCTCCTGAGCAATGATGATGTCATAAGGGCATCGATCATATCAATCGATCCAATTGGCATAGTGCATGGATCTGGATGCATTCCATTGAAGCACTCGGAGAAGGCCTGGTGTGGGAGATGTGAGTCCTAAGGCATGGAGGTCTATCGACGTCTTTGCGTCCATAATTGTTTGATGCGAAATGGTACCTGCATTGGATACAAAGGTTATAAAGATCTATTCTTATATATGGCTATACCAATATCCAAGGACCTAAAACAAGCTCGAATATGTAACCTTTTCAATCGATTGCACGGATTCCGAGACTGGACGAGGCCTAAGCCAGATGATGCCCATGCCTCGTGGTGTTTCGCCCGATAGTCATGGAAATCACGTGTATCATTCGGATTCATATACTCTCCTGCGGCGGGAGAGGCAACCCTCGCGCCCGGGATGGGGTTATTAAGCTCGAAAGGCTCTGGTCGGCCCATCCTGCCTAGACTTGGGACCCGAAAAATAGACGAACGAAAATGCAATAAAAATTATATTACGGGCAATTACAAATAATGAATGGCAGAAAACGAAAAAGAAATTCCCGTCCGACACTCCCAATCTCGATCTACACATGACGTTTAAACCACATATTTAAATATCATAATTAACAAATATAAATATATATTTCTATATATAATTAATAATTTTTGTTAATAATAAATTACATCGAATTCCCAATTTTATATAATAGTAATTAATAATAAATATTATATATTAATATTCTTAATCGGAATTTAATAATATTGCTATTTGTCAATTTTTTACCAATAATTTCGATTAATATAACTATTAATAAAATTTCAATAATAAATTAGAAAAAAAATCGCAATAAATATAATAGAAACATATTAGATTTATATTTAATTTATATATTCTATTATTTTAAATTTATATATTAAACAATAATATATATTCCCAAAAATAGATATATATATAAATATAATAAAAATATATTAAATATTATATCAATATATCAAACAATTACAAAAATATAAATTACAAATAAAAATAACTAAACCTAAATAATAAGAAATAATAACAATAATAATATATATCTTCAATCAATTCCAAAGAAAAAAATAAAAAATTACAAAAATGAATATTTTATTTATTGTCAACTATATTAAAAATATATCTATAATTGCTTACGCTACGGCCCTATTATATTTTATATACGTAAAATATTTGCTTCCAATATTTTATATATTTAATTGCCATTATATTTCTAAATTTATCAAGATATAAATAAATCAAAACCACAAAAATTAATATTATCGATAATAACCTATCTTAAGCAAATTGTCTATTTATTTAATATCAATACGTAATCGAAGAACGAACCAATAAAACCTTCTCAATTTCTAAATAACAAATCCCAATTTAAAAAAATCTAAAAACAATACCGCCTTAAAATTTCATTAATTTAGCCGGACATTTAGCCAAAGCCTTCTCATATTTTTTTTCAATATTCCAAAAATCAACGATATTATATAAATTTTCTTTTATATTATTATTAATAAATCCAATTCTTCATCTATAAATATAATTTAATTAATATAAAATATTAATCCTATAAAATATAAAAATTTTATTTTTTTCCCAACCTCCAATTACAAAATCCCTTTCAACAAAATTGTTTATACAAAAATTATTCAATTTTATAATTATATATATTTATTAATTCAAAAAAACAAAATATTTAAATTAACATTAAAATATAAAAATATCTTATTCAATTATCAAATTTTAATCCGAAAAATCCAATATTTATTTCGTAAAAATAAAATCTTAAATTATTATATTAATATTAATTACGTAATTAATATAATTATTAAATTATTTTTTATTTATCCTAAGCATCGCATTCGAATCCCTTAAAACAATAAATATCATTCTAAATTAAACAATTTTTATATAAAAGAAGCATAACATCTTAAGAAATACCTAATAAATTTCAATATTAATTAAGGATGCCTAATAGACACCCGTTAGATGATCCTGGATATATATATATATATGTATAAATATCATATATATAGATATACCCATTAATTATATATTCATATACACACTAATTGTTGAATTGTGTTGCTTCTGTTTGGCTGCTGGATAGTAGCTGATTTGGCCAGTTTGTTGCCGAAACCAAGCCTACAGCTCAAAAAATAGATTTCCAACCCAAGAGTGTGAATGGCACTAGCTCCAGATATGTTCGATTCCAGTACAACTCTAGAAAGCCAGCTTCTGTCCATGAAACTGCTGTGGATTCACGTTCACACTTGCAAAAGCATCTGGCCTGCCAGCAGTTGAAGCAAAACCACTGAGATGTTTCAGCATCAAGGCCTTGCTTCGCTCCAGATGCCAGCCCGGCGAGCTAGCCTTTGCCAAAACCTCCTGTCTGGGAATCTTGCTCTTCTCTTATTGGTCAAAAAATCTTGACGTGGTCTGTTCAACTCCTTCACCCAAGAGAATCTTCGTCAAACCCATCAGCAAGTCGGCTTTCCAGATGGATGCTCCGACCTTGTCAGACCCACCTCCACAGGTGTCTATTGATGACCAGTGCTTTGGCAATTCTAGGACCAAACTGCCTCTGACTCCATGGGCCCTTCCTCCGGAGCCGCTTTGCCTGAGGCCCGCACTGCCCATGGCCATCGGAACGTAGCAGCCACCTGGCTCCGGCAAGCTCTGGTGACTTCCCAGAATTGGTTGAAGAGTTGAACGGAAAATCGACAGGCAACCATGGTTTTCACCTGCAAGTTCCAGATAGAGCTGGCTAGTTCCTGATCAGTTCATCATCGACGATGTCTCCTTTTGAGTTATGGAGACGCTGACTACGAGATAGGACTAGGACTAGATAGAGTCATCGCCATGGATAAGTAATTGAGACATCTGTGATCATCTGTGATTTCTCATCTGTGGCTCCCCCCATCTAGATTTCAAGTAAATCACCCAAGATGAGAGCAACAATCCCAAAGCCCAAGAACGTGAAGAAAGAATCCAGGGGACATTCTTCAATTGCCAGGTGGCTCCTGCTCTCTCCCAGTCCGCCCTCGGACACCCACCGACACGGATAGCATCGAGCGGAAGCGGTGACATCCGAAACGAAACGCACTGGGGGCGATCACAGGCATCGCAAGGATGAAGTTCCTCCTGGGGTGCTACCTCAAGAGGTGAAAGAAACATGCTGAAAAACATCGCTGGAGCTGAAGACCTAGGCTAGGTGTTTAGAGGTTCAGTCTGCTCTTGGATCAGTGATTCTCTCTTCATCAGTTCACGATTTTGTTTGGATCAGTGAAGATCTATGCAAGGTGATTGGTTCCACGGAAACGACCCACGGACCTACACATGGGTCGACTCATTCACTGAGGCAAATGCTTGGTGTACCTAATGTAGACAATTAATAAGGAAAAATCACTCCCCGACCACAAAGGTTTTACATCTCCGTTTCTTAATCAACGGCCTACAATGATCTACATCATGGGAAACAAGCATCTATTGTTGGAGCTTGGGGCATGGGAGTCTCTTCTCACATCCATGCCCCCAGTGCATCCCTGCCTCCCGTGCTGGTCTGTATGCTTGAGGTCGCCCTGAGAGGCGACGGACTCAAGCCAATGGTTCCATTCAATCCAAGCCATGCACGGGAACCTAGTAGTAAGGACGCTACTACTAGCTCCTGGCATCGCTACTAGGAGCGCTACTAGGGGCTCCTGGCATCACTACTAGGAGCAAGGACGCTGGCTCCTGGCATTACTACTAGGAGCAAGGACGCTACTAGCGGCTCCTGGCATTACTACTAGGAGCAAGGACGTGTCCTACAAAAAAGATAAGCTGGCTGCCAAACGTCCATCGCTTGCTATGGCTTCTTTCTCGTCCCCACACAAAAAGTCACCTGCTGTGGATTGCTGTGACAATTTTGGTCACTTGCTCAAGTGATAGGAAATAGAACGCAGAAATTACTTGACCTCAAACAAGACATCCAGCAGTGGTTCTTGTTAAATAATGAATTGTAACTAATTTATAGCCTGATTGAGACTCATAGGATTGACGGAATGAGACAAATACATGTCAAAAACCCTACTTCGGTGCCAAACACCCTCAATCCGTTTGAGACGCTGCTTTTTGTCGCTTTGCCCCTTCACCGAAGATTGGAGTAGCAAGGTGCATCGCTACTAGCTACTAGTAGCTCCTGGCATTACTACTACGAACAAGAAGCTACGAGTAACAAGGGCATCGCTACTAGTAACAAGGGCATTACTACTAGTAGCAAGAAGCTACAACACTTTTTCAATTAAGGTCCTTGCTGCGGTGTTGTTTCCAGTGTAAGCCAGTGCGCACCAAAAGAAAACAACAAAAAACACTTCAACGGCGTCTCGCAAACACCTCCGTCACCCATAGGGGTTCGGCTCAAGGGACCTCTGCAGAATGGCTGTAACGCTCGTTGACTTGCTCATTGAAACACAAGTGTACTGCCTGAGACATGCCTTACTTGCCTTGCTTTGCTTCCTGAAATTCAGTTGCCAACCAATTGCAGGAATGTGTTGAACAATTGCAGCCACTTGTTCCCCCACAGCCAATCCACGACCTCAAGCCCTGCCCCCACCGTGTTTTCACCCAACCATCGGCTCCTCCATCTCGATCATCTTTTCCTGAGCGTCCTGGTGCGACTGGGCACGAGGCCTGGAAATCAACCAACATCTTCTGCCCGTCGTGACAAGGAACCCCAGTGTCATGGGGGATGGGGGGGGGCTGAGGGGGGGGGCTATGGACCTTATGCCCAAGGCCTCTTTAGAGAATGACTAAGCTATCAAGTATATAACATCAAATAACTATCAGATCAGCCCCCTTCCTGCAGGCCCTCCAAAACAAACATGTGCATGTGTTTTGCCGTGGCGGATTTTGACCATCCGACGGCTCAGCAGATGTTGTTGGTCATAATGTTGTTTGGTGGAAGGAAAGAGGAATTGAATTCAGGTTTTCCAGTTGGCGCTGATCATGGCTGATCTATCAGCCAATGAATCATTAATCAATTTGGGAACCTTTTGAGGCACCAAAATCGATAACTTTTGAGGGCACTGGCTAATTTCTGGATAAGACCTGGATAAGACCTGGATAAGCCTTGGATAAGGGGGAATCTGCAAGGCAGGAGGTTTTTAGGGTAACCCATGGATAAGCCCTGAATAGCTTGTCCAGAAGGCTTTTGGTGAGGCCAGGAATGCCACCAAAGGAGCCCTCAAATTGAACCCGACAAAAGGCCTAAGCACTAGCTTTTGAAATTCTGGTGGTAGATTCTGGACACACACACACATATATATATATATAATAACTATAAATTTCATGATTGATGAAACCCTCAATCGATTGTCAAAGAACAGTCGCTGGCTTTTTGGAGCCAGGGCCCCGAAAGGAACGGCGGCCAAATCGAGCGGAGCCGATGGATGAAAACATCGGGTTGGGATTGGGTGGTCTCATTGGATAAGCTATCCTGTGTCTATCCAAGGCTAATAAGACTTTATTAGGGTCTTATTGCTAAGACCTTATTAAAGGCCATTTCCATGGTGGTTAAAAGCCTATTAAAAGCTTAATAGCTGCTATTAGTAATTATTAGAAGCTTAATAAGAATGCACACTGTTTGCACACTATCAATGAGCAAGCCCTAAGCACCATAGCCCCCCCCCCCCCCCCCCCCCCCAACCCCCGTGACAGTGGGAACGATCGACTTCCATAAACTCCCTAAGCTGAGAAAGCTCTGAGCTGGTCTGGCATCCAACAACTTGGGACTAGAAGTCCTGCTCCTCGCCCTCGTCCTCGAGGGCGTGTGGAAGTCCCGCTCGTGCGCCTCATCATGAGGGAACTGGAAGCCCAGCAATTCTGAGGCACTGGTGCTTGAGTGAACAAGATTTCATGATGAATATAGAAATTCCTGTTGACAAAACCTTTAGCAATCATCTAGCGGCTCGAAAAACACCCCTGATGCCCTGCTTCTTATGCCAGGTACATCAACACTTGCAAATTCAAAACTTGCAGGAACAAAAGCAAAGCCTCCTGAAGAAGAGTCGCAACTCCTTCCCGATGTCGAATGTCAATACTGAACTGGTTCATTACTGTTCATCCGACCATGTCCTTCTATATCTTCCCCGCTTTTCCTTCAAGCTACCGACCCTCCTACGTTAAACGGACGACCGGTATGAATTTGTGGCCGGGCTTTCTTTTAGGACTTGCTTGCTTGGTGGGCCCATTTGTGGGTGGACACGGCTGGCGCACGAAGTGGTCATGGCCTCCAAAGTGTTTTTCGATGGTCTCTGTCCAATGCTGGTTTGCTTTGATCAGCCGTTGAGTCGCCTGTTTATATATGTATATATAGGCATAAGTTGCTATATTATCTTGTTATATATTCCTGTCATATTGCATGAACACAGTTAACAGATTTCCTGGCAGAACCAAAGATTCAGCAATAGTTAATAGCGGCTAGCTTTCTGTTGCGGGTGTTCAAAAGTGCTTTACCACATTGTTTTTGCTTTGATTCGATATGATGGAACATCTCCTACAGCACTTACACGCTGGCCTGAAACATATTTGCATGTCTCACGCCTTAGATGGTCACACTCGAATCCCCTACAAGTACTTAGCCAAGGAACCTCATCTGCCAAACTCGGCGTGAATGGCGAGTTGTATGTGTGCGAAAAGCAATTGTCATCGACACCCGGTTTTCGGAACAGCCTTCCATCTTGGCCGCCTTCGGCTTTCAACAAGCTGGCCTTGACGCATTGCAGGGGAGCTTCGGAAATCGATGTTCGACGGCGCAGGATGGACGATGACCTGAAATCCTTTCAGGATGTGTGCTGCTTGAACATTTCATAACAGGGGCCCCACAAACTATCAAAAACCTGGTGTTCCCTAGCAAAAAGACATGGTTTTTGTATGTGAAAACCTTTGTTTTTCAGGGTTTTGGTAGGGGGCCGCTGACCTGAACGTGTGGGAGCAGGGCCCAAAACTCCCCTTCCTCGATCTGGCTCGTTGTGCACCTCGATCTGTCCCTCTTCACATCCAGCGAAACATCGCCAAACATGCCAAGCGCAGGTGTTGCCCTGGCGTGTCTGACATGTTGCCAATGCGATGCCCAGCGGGGCTACTTAACATAGGGATCAGGGATTCACAAGGAATCAGTTGGGTTTCACACTGATCACCAGCCATTTTGGGAAGCAACTGCATCGCGAACTCTCTTCCAGCTGGGATCCACTGGCTGCCAACTCCAGCACGGTGGCACCAACCTGGCAAAGGTCCATCACAATTCATCCTCGTCCGACCACAAATGGCCAGCGCAAAAACAAACAATGAGAAAACAAAAAAACACACCACCTCAGCCAGTCTCAGCCAGTCTGTATGGCCGCATGGTTTATGTGGTCTGTATGGTCTGAACTCCAATTGGAGAGATCTCGGTTGGATCAAACCACCTCTGGTTGACAAGGCCTGGAAGCGATCTTTTCAATTCCTGCAAAGGGCCTTCGTCGCTTTTTCTTTGTGTTTGAGGGATCACTCTGCGCGACCCCAGATTTTCACTCCTCACACATCGACTTAGTTGATATTCCTTGCCTCGACCCCTAATCTACTACACTTTCATCTCGTCCATCTCACTGGCCACACCTTCGCCCCGTCACCCGGGCACCGCGGTGAGTGGGCGAGTTTTTCGCCGGTGCGGCCTCACCCTCTGCCACCAGCTGATGAAAGCGCTGCTCATCACTGCAGAAGAGCCGGAAGACCAAACGGAGCATCTCTCGCAGCCTGGGCGGAAGACCCGGACCTCGTCGCCTTGGCGTGTCACTTCGGACCGAAGTCGGTGTGGCTGGGATTCGGGTGGAACGAACAAATGAATGATCTATATATATAATATACACAGCTGATATATACTGTATACTGAGAGAATTGTCTTCTCTATGTTTCATTGTGTATTAACTCTTGGAGGGGGTTGTGGTTTTGGTTCAAGTGCTGACTTTTGTGGAACTAACGCCTGAAGTGGAGACACGCCATTCAAATTTGCTGGGTCCATGGTCCATTGCTCTGCTAAAACCTTCTACAAAACGACATGTTGAAGCACTACTTTGTTTCCCCATCATGCTCTGCATTCGAGAAAGATCACCCCCCGATAGACAAGAGCCACTTTTGGTTTTCTCTGCATTCGCTTCATAAGGTCGTCCAAAGGAACTCAAATTAGAACCCAAACTGAAGCAACCGAGTGGCCCTCCCACGTGCCTTCTTCCCCCACCGCCACAGGCCGGCTTTCCGGCCGGGACCTCGGCCACCGGGCCCCTGCAAACGCCGGGCGGTCTGGAGCGGCATGCGGAACGCCACCCAGGTGCCCAGCTCGGTCAGCGAGACCTTCACGTCCTCACCGGTGCAAATGACATCCTTACAAACCGAACAAAGCGGACTTCGAGATGGAATACGTTTGATCCAAATATCAGGAAGAACCTATAGGGTTTGTGAATTCCTTGTTGATCTTATTCCACTAATTGAAGGCCCCAGGTCAGTCTAACCAAACCAGGCATCCTACACTGTCCTACACGCTGTTCTCCTCAGGCCTCAAGATCAGAACAACCTGCTCAAACTTCCTATAGAGGCCCTAGAGTTGACCCCACACGGCCCAACTGAGTCAACAACTCTCATCAATGACTCATCAAAGTGAATCTTCACATACCTTCTGTCCCCAAGGTTGTAACTATCAATGGATTTCTTATGATGTGTTTAAGGACACATCTATGGGAAACCATGGCTATAAGCTCACCCAAACTATGGTTTTCCCCGTATTTTCCCTTATATAACCAATCACCTGACCTATCGATCCGTTCAAAAACATCAACCGTCGTCCGACCTCGTCTCTGTCGATCTCTTCGACCGCTTCGCCCAGTTGTGCCGACCACCTGACGCCAACGACCAAGCGCTCGGACGAAGTTCCTAAGCCTGTGAAGTCCCGCCCGACGAAGCTGGCTATTTGTATTACTGTATAAGTGCTCCCTGGAACAAAAAAACGTCTTACATAGGAGGAGTATTCATTGCCCCTCCGGCTAGCATATATGGCATGCTTATATAGTTAAGATAGAGGTATGAAATGCATCATCTCATAAAATCAAGCGTTTCGCATTGTGGCGCGATGATTTTTCTCAGAAAAGTTAACGCAGCACGGCACGGACGCGTCCTCATCGCGCTCGTTTTTGTCGTGCTTCATAGAACGCAGTGGATATTCGGATATTCAAAATCAGGACTGTCCAATTCTTTTCCGAGGGTTCGTCGCATCGCGTCTTTTTGCGTACACTCATGATCGTCACGCAGATCTTGAGGTGTATCGGGGGGGTGGGCAAGATGCTTGCATTCGTGTCGTGTTGGGCACACTAAAAATGTCTTGCAAAACCCGTCTGGTTGTTGAACACTGTAGATAATCATACCTGCTGGTCATGAAGATGTGTTGAGTGGCGTGGGGTAGGGTGGCGTAGGGTGTTGTTGATGTTCCTTTGAACTTGCATACACCGTTGATGCTATAGTGGGCAACGCACATGATGCTACGGTGGGCATGGGTGGAGTGGGGTAGTGTTGATTTGTTTTTGAAGTTGCAAAAGCAGTTGATGCTACAGTGGGCACGGGTGGGGTGGTGTTGACGTTCGTGTAAAGTTGCAAACTCACTTGATGCTACGCAAATAAAGCTGGATCAAACGCAGGCTGATGTCAAGTGGGCTGATGATTACCGAAGCCAATCACTGCCCGAAACAAAGAAGAAGTCAGCGGTTTGCCATGGTGCTATGTGTACCAGTGGCAGCTGCGGACTGCATGTAAAGATGTCAATGAACGTATAGCAAATTATTGAAAAAAAGGCAATGCTTGAAATGATTCACTGTCCCAAGTGAACCCGACGGGATATAATTTATATATATATACACACACATGCTGGCTAGCTATGCCATTCGCCACGATGCTGGTTAGGCATACTATTGCTTATTGAAGCGTTTTGGTGGTTTGAACCAACACGATGCTGGTTATATCAATCCTCCCTTCCTCTGGAACCAGGTAGGAGTCGTGAGAGCATTCCTTCCAGACACCATGACCAGCTATGGTCCAATAAGCATCGTTGGGTGGTTTCCTTCCTTTTGGAGGCTGGCTTTGCCATGCACCAAAAGAACAGCATTCAATGAACGAGTCTGACTAGTATCCGGTATAGCCTCCCAAGAAATGACATAGAAACTGCGGAGGAAAATTGTAGGTTGAAGGACCGTTTCCTAACCACCTGGCACCTTCACACGCATTCTTCAACAAAAGGCATGATCAAAATGTTGGTACCAATATGTACCAATACAATTATTATACATGTACAGTAGCTGTATAGTATATGATCCTGATTTCTCAAAGCTCTTCTCAGCACTCCCTGGATCTGGTGCCGGGCCATTGGGAGATAGCGGCATCGCTCACTGGTGAGGCCTGAAAACCAGCGAAAAACGTGAAATCGTCAAAAGCTCCCATCACCAGGTGGTGGGTACCAATAGCTCAACAAATCCAAGTGCGATGTTCATGAAATCCGTTTTGAAGTATGACCATCTGCTGAAATGACCTCAGAAGCCTACCCAGCCTAGTCAGAAAACCATTGCCATGCCAACGAAGAGTGTGAAGCTCGGATTTTGGGATAAGTACTCAAATATAGCGCTAAATTACTGGAGGCACAACAACTCATTGTCATCTATCAATATTTATGATACTTAATATCATCTTGTAAAATCAGGACATGCTTGATTCCACACTGACAAGTGTCCAATGAAAAACACATTCCATGAATGGGCTTCAACAGGGAGTCCCAAATACCATGAATGGAGCATGATCGTAGATAGGCCGATTTTCCCATCCGTCTCGGCTCTTCGAGGGGCAACGTCGCACGTCCGTCCCCAGACCTCGGGGTCACCGAGGTCCGCTTCCCGAAGTGGACCTTCTCCGCAAAGTAGCAGGAGAACCTCCGTCTTCGGGGTCTCTCACATAATTAAAAAAGACACACATAAAACAAAGAGCCCCTAATAGCTTCTTGTTACTAGTAGCGATGCCAGGAGCCCCTAGTAGCGTCCTTGCTCCTAGTAGTAAGGCCAGGAGCCCCTAGTAGCTTCTTGTTACAGAATTAAGAAAAGCACAATAACACAAAGAACATCCAAAGAACCAAACACCCGGACTCATTCGACCCTGCTTGTTCTTCGGTCGGAAGATCCAGGACAGTCGTCGACGACCGGTGGATTAAACCTGGGGGTATTTCGACTAATCGTACACCGTTTGAGAGAATCATCCACCTTTCCCTGTCAAGATATGTCAAGATTGTTAAATCAATGTCCAGGCCCTCCCTCCTCCATTTCGTGCGGTGACAAGCCAGGCTGAGGTATGGGCGCTACTCCTAGCTGGTGAAACTCCAGAGAGAGAATAGTGCTCCTGCAGAGCTGAAGAGGATGGCCCAAGGTGCAAAAGGAAGGAGCAGAATACTGAAGATACACACAAACGGCGCATGCTGTAGTAGAGCATCATCACCTGCAAAATCTAATATTCCTGGTCACATGTTCCATGAACATTCGTTGGAGAAAATAACTGGGACTTGATGGCTCATGATTCATGACATGCTGAAACTCGAAGCATGGCATGCTCTTTGAATACCGCACTGTCATCCGAACCGGTGCAAGAATGAACCCGCAGTCTGGGGGGTGTCTTCCCTCCTCGACCTGGCTCAGTTCATTGAAGCAAAGCCAGGACCCACCTGCGGCCGTCGAATCGAATGCTCGCAGAACTCTGTTGGATTCGTTCGCCTCAAAAGGCGAGGCAAAGGATCAAAAAGACCAGAATGCACTCTCAAAACCACTGAGCTGATAGAGGTCAATGGTTGGTTGGTGGTCATTTTTCCTTCGAGTCTTCAAAGGGGTATGATATGGATGCGATATGATGCGATCTTCTGTGATCTTCTGGTTGACTTGCAACCTTTGCCTCGCACACCTGGCCTCCATCGGCATTGACACCACCTGTCCGCCAAGAAGCTTTGGACGTTGTCGAGCAAACAAAGAAGTTGCGCCACTCTGGATGACTGGTGGGACACTCCTCCACAAAATGTTGCTACAGTATATCATGCTAAATCCTCATCAAAACTGGTGGATGCAATGTCCCTTAAAGATGAGGGTACCGGTCATTTGGAATCCAACTAGTCTGGATGGTTCCAAGTCAGTCGATCGCATTGGATCCTTGAGCCCTGACATGCCCTGACATTGGTGGCACACTGTCACTGTAGTCGTGGGAAAAATAGTATGTATATATATATATATGTATATGATATATTATAGATCTCTGGAGATATGACATGTGAAAAAACACACACAAGTGAAACAAGAGTGAAATCGGTTTAGAATGGAATTCCGAACCGATTTGGGTGACCGATGGACATCGGTGACCCACGGGACGGTTTTCCAGCTTCGCCACCTGGCCCAGCTCCTTCAGGGTCAGTGTCAAAGATGGCGCTGGATGGGTGTGGCCTTGGTGCAGCGGTCGACCGCAGCGGTCGGCGCGTTCTGATCCGTTCCGCCTGGAACACTGAAGGGTCGAATCTACATGTCGGGGATGCAATGGGAAGCATGTTTGTGGGTGCCCGTAGCACTGAATGAAACAGGTTGATGCAATTCAAACCTGCAGTGACTCAATCTGACACCTGCACTGGCAGCTTCTCTCAAAACAGCCTAATAGATGCGGCACAGTTGCACAGCTTCCAGCTGACCGTAGTTCACTTTCAGCCTTAGAAAAGAAGAACATCTGAACCATTCGGTTCTCCAAACCCGTCCTTGTCCAAACAGCGTTGTCTTCGACGACTCAAATAATCATGCATAAACGGAAGGCCTCACATGTCTGGCGACATCGTTTTATCCAAGTGTGCCATGTGGCAAAATATCAGATAGAACCGAACAACGTGACCGATTGAGAAGTCTCATCTGCATGGTACCAGGAGCTTCTACTCTCTTCCAAATGAATCCACCTAGTTGCAAACACATTTTCCTCTGCCAAGTGCTTGATTTGTCGAAACTTGCACTGAGTGTCGCTTCAGCAAAGCTGCTTGGGCCGCGGCTTTCCCCGCTTTGGACGGAATGCCAAGTTCGGGAACAAACCTCTGCACGTCGAATCATTGAATTCACGACACCCTCATGGTCAGCACATCCCACATGTTTTGGCTATGCCAGTGCACCTGGTCAAAAATCCCACACCTACTCGATTTCGGGGGTTTGGCCGTAGCTCATGTGTATATTAATGCGTATATCTTTTGCCCAGGCTGCCCCGAGACGCTGGGACCCAGGTGGCTGGTTGGGACCCAGGCTGCCTACCTCCTTCGCCAGCAAAACCACTGCAAAGCCACTTTGAACATCGTCATGCAGCTTCAAATTCGTGTGAGCATCTGCCGGAATGTCTTGTGAACGAAGCGGACATGATACAACAAACTTATCGAATTTTGGGGAGGCTAACGCGTTTACTTTCAACTTTCAACATATAGCCAAACATATCCAACAACTGCAGCGACATGGTTTTGACATTTGAGGGGCCTATCATTATTGCCGGATTTTAGCTGATTCCTCAAATGTTCGACTGCTCTTTATTAGATTTATCATCGCAGGTTTTAGCGGTTGCATGTTCAGCTTGATCCAAACAAATGAGTATTGAGACCTGGGGAACTAAGTCTGTTTGGAATCTGAACTTCTTCCGACTATACCATACCATAATCCAGGTTCTCAAGGCTGTGTCGCTCGAAAGAAGTGCTGTCTACTCTTTCATGTGGCCTCATCTTCTTGTGTAAATTGGGATGGAGGGAGGCCTCATCAGGCCTCTTCACTCTTATCTGTTGGTCTTCCAAAAGCAGTTCTTCGTCCGGTCTCAAGTCTTCGGACCTGCACACACAGCTGCCAAGACCAGGGAAGGGTCGTTCCCATGGCCTTGGAGAGCAGAAACCCCAAGGCCATGGAAGCGGAATTGGATCCGGATGGGTGCAATTCCGACACACAAAAAGACAAGCATGTCTTTATAAACTTTATACGTGTCATCATTTCTCTTTATACGTTGTATCATCTTGTATTCTTGTATCATTGAAATTGATGGAATGACTTGGTTTGGCCTCATGTGCGGGAATTGGAGGGTGCTGGATGGTTTCTCTTGTCTTGAATTCCTTTGGTAGTTTTGAAAGTCTTGTTGCTCTTCCTCTTGACTATACAGACTATACATAATAGACTGAGATGAAGGTCATGCATTGGAATACACTTTCTGTTTGCTTGAGTGGATTCACTGATGGTGTTTGGCCAAAGTTTTGGGTGTGTTCTCTTATGTAGCTTCTCCTCGATTAGATGGGGTCACAAAAGCCGATTTACTTGTGCTCTCCAAGATCAACAAAAGCCTCTCCAAGTCCTGCACGGCCGCACCCACCTTTCAGAAACCAAAACGCGTATTCCAAAGTTTTTTGAGCTCGCCGCGAAACCCCCAATGGTGATGCCAGTCACAATCACATTAGAAATCGGTGCCCTGCCATGTCATGACCTCTCCGTGGGAGCTTTTCATGTCACATCACCCAGGGTGGAATGATTGAATCTTGGAATGTTGAAGAGCTTCAGCTATCCAAATGGGCGTTGTGCAGGGGACCAATGTCTCCCACAAGCGTTGTCACAGTGGATGAAATAGTCCCCATGCGGGGGGCCACCGGTTTACATGAAGTGTCCCTTCTACTGGGGGTCTATCTTTTGGCACAGAAGCCTGGGCCGTCAGAAGGGATATGTTTGAGTTTCCACCATTTCAAAGCCAGAAGGAGATTTTATGGTGAAATACGGTGGGTATGGTGAGTTGACTTCCACCCCTACGTCTTCAAAGCCGTTACAACTTGATTTCGGCCGTTTGGACCACTTCAAGACCTGCAACCTGAGCACTTGAGCACTCGACGGTTGGCGCCATCAAACCACAGGGAACGACCTAACGACGCTTGGCAGCCGAGCGACCATGGACTTCACCCGTCCGTGGAGTTTGTACACAATCTTTCTCTTAAAGGGACTAGTGACGTGTAAGGGACTATTATAGTAGCGATGGCCTCCAACCTACTAGCGATGGCCTCCAACCTACTAGCGATGGCCTCCAAGGCACCTGTGACGTGAAAGGGACTATATAGTTCAAGATGTCTTGGCCATGTTTCACAGGGACATAGCACCTAGGCCGAGTTACGTGGCTACGAAATGGCTGGGTGTGTGACGACCTGTCTTCCTATTGTCGGTCAAAGTATTTGTGAGGCTATTAGGACAATAAACCATACCATATCCAATTTTGTTGCATTTATAGCTTCCTTGCTGCTGACTTATATAAGCAAACTCAGAAACCTGTCTCTTCACTGTTCGGTGGAGGAGTCTCACAATCTCTTCTGGTTCTTTGAATCTTCGCAAACTCCCTATAAATCATCGGCCGGTTTGCTCCGGTGGAGGTTTTCCACAGAAGACGGTACATCTCGGTGGAGGAGTCTGGTTCGGCCGGTTTGCAAAAGACTTGTACAACTCGTACGAGGGGAGGTCTCTGTCGCCACCTGGGCGTCCCAACGCCGGAGCTCGCTCCGGAGCTTGGCTGAGGTCCTGGATCGAACGCGTCCAAGTGGAGGAGGGTTTTGTTTGAGAAAACAAGAATCCAAAACAACAACTGAGCTCTTCAGGTTCTTCAGTATGTTCTTTTACCTTCTGACTTCTGGCTGAAATGTATACCCTTTGGACGGTAACTCTTGCTCTTGAGACTCTTGGGTCTTGGACCGGATGTTCACCACCTATCCACGGAAAAAACTCGCCCTCCGCAGGGCAAGCGTCCACCATGGACAAACGGAGCCCACCATGCAAAAGGGGTTCTCCGACCCCCCACTACACGGGTTTCATCCACAAACAGGCGGACCGAAAAAGGGACGCTTTTTGGCTCCATGTTGTTGACGACTCCATCTGAAACGTTGAGCTCTACGGGTTGAGGATGTTGAGGATGTTTGATGAGCACTGGATTCCACAATCTTTTTGCACTGTTGACGATTTTTGCTGCAAGACCTTTTGGGGGGGATCATCTCCCTGATCCTTTGCCCAAAAAGGACGACGAGCTCTCAGAAGATAAAAACTATACCAAAGAGTGCTACAAAGTGGTGAGAAGCAGCCTGCCAGGTGGTGTTGGCCGGCAGCTACACCGATCCACTCTTTGACCTGCTCCAGGGCACCACACTGTCTCAGATTTTGCATCAGGCGAAATGATAAGCAATTCGCCTTGTGGATGCGGGGGCACAGGCAAATAGCGAAGCGGCCAAAAATATGCTCGTCCCGTTCGAAGCTATTTATATATATATATATAGTATATAAACATCTGGAGGGGATCTGCTCAATTGGTTTGACTTCGATCCCAAAATGGTGACGGCCATTTTCCACACATTTCCTGCGGCTCAAAGAAAGTGGTATTCACCTTCTTGCGGATGTGGAACCCACATGTAGCTGTAGCTTGTGGCTGCTTTCCACCAGGTGCCGCAAACGGACAGTCATAGGCATCTGCAATCTTCCTCGATGGTTTGAGAAATTTGTCATGGGCTTGTTAAGGTTGTGACAATACCCACATAAAGCTGCCGCACTGGTGGAACACTTGGCAACTTCTTTGGTTGCCTTTTGGCCAACTGCTTCCGTGGTGTCAGCTCGTTGCATGATCTGTGATCTAGCTTGCTTGCCAATCCCCACCTACATATCTATCCTCGGTGGTTCAAAACCTTTGCCCCCTTGCTTCGGGCTTTGTTGCAAGTCTACAAGCTGCCTCATCCCTCGCACCGAGCAGGAAAAGTTCAATGGCTCTATGACAACTCGTTAACACATGCGGCGACGTTTCACGAGGTGTTGTTCAACTCACGCCAAGGGGGTAATTGATCCTCGAAGTGGGTCGCGTTTTGGGTGCCAAATACTGCACAACGTGATGCTTTTGGAACCGCTAAATGCAAACATGCTATATATATATATATATATACACATTATATACACATATATCATCGGGTAAAGCCAAATACACCCGTGTCGAGAAACCAGCTGATGATGTTCATCATTAAATAGCCCCCCTGATTTTAACAGGAAGGGCTTGACCTCCTAAGTTTTTCACTCCCAAGTTGTTTTTATAAGTGAGGTTGCCAGAATTCTTGGACTTTCCATGACTTGGACCATCTTGGACCCTAAGAGTTCTGACGGTCTAAAACCGGTGTTGATCATGCTCTGCATGAGGTCCTCTTGACTCTCTCACTGGACTCGGGCACTGCGAGGTGGCCGACTGGCATGGGGAGAGCTGCACGACCACCAGTCGTTTCAGGATTGGCTTGGGTCTGTCAAAGCCAGAAGCTTGAAAAAACTACCATTGAACACCCAGACCAGCAGTGAAAATGCTCTGAGTATCTCTGAGTCAGAAATCAATTGTTTTGCTTTCGGGGCATCACGTCTCCATTGGACGTGATTCTTTTTGGCGATCTCCATCCACGGTGGTCACATGTGAAGGAGGCGATCTGAAGGACTTTGGTTTCAAGGAAACCGCGACCGTCACACAAACTCACGACTCAAACTCGCTTTGTCTTGAGAATAGGAGAAATCTCACCCATCTGAATCAAAGCAACAGAAACCATACTCATCCTCCTCCAACTCCCTCGCGCGGGGAGCGTAAGCCGCGCGAACCCGCCGCTGAACCGCCCGCCGCCCGCCTGGTTCCAGGCGCATGACGAAAGGCCTCAGCGTCCAGGTCGTTGAGGTTCTCATATCGACTCCAGGCCTCGGTGGACCGTGAACGACGGTGGAGGTCACCTCGGAACCGAGCTCGCCAGAAACATCCAACGAGTTTTGGGGCACATGGTATGGACAGTGATCTCTGGTCCACCAAACCTGAGCTTCCAGGCTGTGACATGGCCAAAGACAGCCTGGAGAGCACGGCTTCACACATCGTTGTGCGGAGAGGCCGAGCACGGGAGCACGAACCACAGTCTCTCAAGGCCCACATTTGGCATTTGGACCAGCAACCACAGGTCAAGACATTCACTATAATTATCAGTAATTATCAATATTGCTTGAACGTCATGTCAGTTTCGGGTTCTGTTTGGGTCACGGCGATGGAGGCAAAACTTCTTCGCAAGCGTCTCCGTTTCACTGACCTCCTCAGTTTCCCAGAATAGAGGCTAACCTGTTTCCACCTGTTTAGTGGGGAAATGACTCGGGAAAAACACAGTTTAACTTTGACTGCTCACGACAGCGGTCGTTCGCCTTGTCGTCGGGGAGGACCAGTTGATCAACGATCGTCACCACCTCCAAGCGTCGTCATCCATGTGTCGGGATGCGTCTCGTGCAAGACATGCAAAGAACAACACATCCAGGGGGGAACAAGTAGTTGATTGCATGAAATAGCGATGCTAAGCCCATCATTCTGCTCGCAACACGTACAGTTTTGTCATCACTTCTCATCCAAGAAGCATAGTAAATAATGGCCAGCACGAAGACTGACAAGGGCACACAAAGCCTGGTAGCTGCAGGGGAATCCGCACACCCACACACACACACACCGTGGCTAGAGTGCCTGCGAGGTGGTCCAAACCGAAACCAGCCAGAAGCATGAAAATCGTTCAAGGAGCTCCATGAAGACATTTAGGCTCTACAAACAGCATCTACAATCCGGAAAGTGTGTATCTGAATCCTCCAAAGAACAAGACTCCACCAATGCTCGACACATTGAGGGTGTTATGAATACAGGGAAGGGCTCAGCAGCTGTCTTTCTGATCACTTGAACTAATGGAGGAACCAAAAACTGACTAAGAACACTAATTGTTCCCACAATCAAACCGAGGCTTCGCCTCAAGTAGACAGGACATATTCAACTACCCGACTACCCGACACGGTGAGGCAGGAAAATGTTCTTTCTGTGGTGTGGCAGCTTGGCCCAGGCTATTTGGTCATGAGAAGTTGGTGCCGTTCATATGTCCTTCAATAACCTGTAAGGAGCATCTCATTAGAAAGGAGCAGTTTTGAAGAGAATGCTCAGAGGAATACATATAATTATATATAAGACATCTACATACATCCAAAACACCCTCTGGTCCAGACCCACGCAAACCATCTGCTCGCAGCAGTCAAACCCAGGAGCACAAGCGCCACGTTGCGTCTGAAGTAGATCCAAGTTTCCTTCGGGCCGGCCGAAGAGCCGCATTCATATCTGGGTGGATTGTCGTTTTCCTGACAAACCCATCGGATCTGTCCGAGTTCTTTTCGAAAACACACTTCAGGATACACTTCAACATCTTCCAACGTTGACCCACCTGGTTCTGGGCCACCGTTGATTCATTGCAAAGACTCCCCCTCGGACGTCGTTGGAGGCTCATCAAGTCCCAACGGAACCGACCGCAAGTCACCAAACTGGCATGGCCACCATGTTTTGCCATGTCGTTACAGCTGTTTCACAGCTACAAAAATCATCGAACATCCGCAAATCAGTAGAGACCGTTAGGAGCTTGAATGATTTTGATGGGGGGAGGTCAAACTGTTGCATCAATGCGCTTTCTGTTGATCAATTGGATGGACAGTCCATGAGCAACCGGTCAGCTAAAATGGAATCTGAGCACACACTAGGGGGGCTAACAATCATTTTGCTCATTGATAAGCTTACTGCAACGCTGATTTTGGAGTACCACGTGAACGCCTAGGACAGAAGGATTCACTTTCCTGATCACTTCAGTATTTTCAGACTGAATGGCAGTTTCTCTTTAAACACTCATTTACGTACTATTTGACACCTAGGCAGAAAACAGTTTTTGCTGCATGGAACATGTCCAATGCCTACAGAAAAGCAGTGTCCCACATGGTTTTATCATGTTTTATCTACCTGTATGAGGATTGAGGGGTTCTGTAACTGTACGTGACGTGTTTGTTTCTTCTGGGAAGAAGTGCTGCCAGGCTTCGAAGACATGTGCCATCAAGTACGAGAGAAGGCCAAGGAGAAACCTCAGTAGCTATGGACCCGACAACGGGATGAAGCAAAACAACAGCTGGACAATTAATTGACATTAATTGACCACTTCTGACGAAGGACATCATTTCTATGGGTGTTCGACTGAGCCTTCGTTTTACATATGTGTCTTTTTAGAGTCCTTCCCGGCATTGCTCCCTTGACATGATCACACAGACCTCCCCGAAGCCTCTGCCTTTCACCGTTCAGCTATGGCAAGCGCTTGGGTAGACCCAAACACTTCTTAGTACAAATTAAATGCCAGTGAAAAAGAAGTGAATCGCTTACATTCAAACTTCTCGAGGTCTTGGGGGAGTGATGCAACACAAAACTGATCTCTGCGCCACGTGTCAAACACTTCTATAACGAAGATCAGCGTCTCTCTTTAGCCACACAAATTGGGAATGTGTGTGTGTGTGTCAGACAATCAAATCTCCCAGCCAGTGGGTTGCTGTCTAGTGTCCTTTCTACCAGATAAGGATGCGTCACCTTCACATATCTGCACTGTCACGTGGAGGGGTGACCGTGCACTGGGTACTGAATCAGATGTACTGACAAACACAACAGGTCATTGATCATCGCAAAAATGTCAGAATAGAAAGAGTATGAAAGAGTAGGTAGCTTCACCTTTGCCACTGTACTGACAAAGAAGTCTGCTGATAAAAGCGGGTCCAATAAAAAATAACAAAACCATGAAGCCAGAAGTTTTGATGGCCTTGGTCGTGATCAAAGTGCAGATCTTCTTGCACAAACTTTGAAGTGCACATGTGTGTGTATGTGTGTGTTGGAGAAGGGGAAACCCCCAAATGGTTCTGGTCGTGTTTTGCTCTTCCCACCCTTCCCGAGGGTGCCAAACGCAACGGTCTCCTGTTGGAGCTACACAACTAACTTTTTGAACAGGCTCCAACACCCCACATGCGCCCATCTGCAGCGCTGGGTCCTTGCCAAGTTGCTGCAGAAATGTGAATTGTTGAGCCTGCAAGAGGACATGTTTCGAGAATCAAAGAGGCATGAAGGACACTAGGCGAGACATGTTCATGTTTAGGCCATGTGTAAAACCAATGAACTATTAACAGTGGACCAATGAGACCGGGTTGGTAGATTTTTTAAAGGGGTGGTATAGGACGCTGGAGGTGAGGTAGGTAGCTGGGGAGTCGCTAGTAGGGAGAGGCAGCTAGTACCTGCAAGTAAGCTACTAGTAAGGACGCAGGATAGCGCTCGCACTATCGATTTGGTTCCTAGATTTTAAGGGAAACTTAACTAACCCAATGAGACCGGGTTGGTAGATATGGTCATCTTGCGTTGGGCTTTGTCGGAACCAAAAAATGGGAACCCGAGGAGCCAAGTTGCGTCTCACCACGAAAAGCACAGTAAAAGAACCATAGTAGCGAGCCCTTGTTCCTAGTAGCAAGTGCATCGCTACTAGTAACAAGTGCATTAACTACTACTAGTAGCAAATAGCTACTAGTAGCTTCTTGCTACTAGTAGTAATTAATGCCCCTGTTACTAGTAGCGATGCACTTGTTGCTAGTAGCTTCTAGATGGGGCCTTTTTTCAATCCTCATCCCCAAACCGATGGGGGCATCTTTTCTCTGAAATCGGGGCTGACCTCGGATGCTTTCTTCGAGGAGTCAGCTTTGTTTGATGAGTGACGTGCCTGTGAGGAGGTCTCTTTCACCATCCAAAACATAGGGGTTCGTGTCAAACTGGGCCAGCAAAACGAATACAATGGATATGATATATTATATAGCATATTTTGATATAGTTTCAGGATTGCATTTGGATTATATATATATAGAGAATAACACCAAATTGCCGTGTGAAAAACTGCTTCCTATGCGGCTCTTACTTTCTTCTCTCCCCAAAACCACTCCCCTCCTCCTCCCATGAAAACGTTCACCTATTGCGCTAGTGCGGCCGCAGCCTAGCCGGCCTTGTGCATGTTCTCCACAGCCAAATGCACTGACTTGGCGCCACAGCCGAAGAGGCCCAACCGCCGTCCTAGATTAATCAGATTGAGAGTGTTGAAGAGGCATAGATCCCCTGTCCTGACTAGTTATAGACTCTAGACCATTCTTGGCCCAGCCCCAACCATTGATGTAAGTCATTACTTGCAACACCAGCCCAAAGTAATGTAGTTGATAATACGGTAATTAGATGTAATCAATGCGTATAACATTCCAATGATTACAATATGTGTGGTTGTTTGCTTCAACCACTGCAAACACAAATGGAATCATAAGGAAAAGGAACAGCACAAATCATGCTCTATGCTGTAGTACTAGATCCAAAAATGTAATTAAAAGTCAGGTACAAATATCTGGCTTGTTCGCCGTCTTCTTAAGGCCGTCCATGCTTTTCGCTCCAAAAAAGTTGTACAATTCCCTCTGTGGTACCTAAATCAATGGGTCTAATCCATACGGCTCAAAGGCCTCTTCTCGACTCCAAGCCCCAACAAAAAAACAAACAATTTTCGGGCGACACCAACAAAAACACAAAAACATCTTGTCACCAACAAAAACACAAAAAAGCATCTTGTCTAGTCTAGCAATTCTACAACTGCAACGCTCTGCAAACAACAAGAAGCTGCACCGGGTTCAGCAAACCTTTAAAGTGGACACAAATGACCAAATCATTGTTGGCAGTGAGATGCTGTGGGTGATATGTTAAGTAGATTTTTAATGCGACATCACTGGAATCACACATATGAGCACTTGTAATGGCAAACCCAGGAGACACCAAGGTTTAAAGCGAACACACGCGGGTGCATCCGTGTGGCCAAAAATCACACAGAAGGTGGAGGACATACAAACCTCGGTGGAGGACCGTGGGCGGAGAAAATGTGTGCTTGGTCAGCCAAGCGAATACAAGACCTACACAAAAAACACATTGCGGACGCCAGGACATATGTTTTGGTGTTTTGATGTCTGGACAAATGCTTTATTGGAAGAACATTTTTGGGCACTCCAACATGTACAGTAATATTCCGTCACGTGACCTCTCAAGCAACCATGGATGTGGAAAGCTAAAAGAAAATAAAACTTTGCAAAACCCTTCTTACGCTTCCATGTTTGCAGGACGTGTTTCTTTGATGGCAGGTAGTGTGAGGGAAACTTCAGTTTTCGACGAACTCTCTCCATCTACGACCATCTTCGAGTAGATAGAATATGACCAAACCGTACCAAAAATATGACCCGTTTCTTATTGGCTTTTGGATTTTCCAAGCATGCCCCTTGCGCCCTAGGACTTAAATCCATCAAAGCATCTCTAAGAACTATTCGACTCTCAGCTTCATCTCCACATGTCCAGACCTCCTCTCACTCCCGTTGGCCATTTCGGTGGACGAAAGGCACAAAGGTTGAAGCCCAACGCCAACGCGGTGAGGCAAATGTACGACATCTGCGGTCCAATGTTCCACGGGGGAGGGACCCGGGTCCCGGAACCCGGCAAAGGCCCATGAGGTCGATCGTTGTTCTTCGTCTTTATTCAGCCAAGTGGATCACTACACACTATGACCATGTTCTTCCGCTCAAAAATCCGTCATGGAGGTGATGTGGTGGGGGACCAACACCCACAATAGGTGGTCCAGAATTCACCGGAGGTGCTGATTCTTCTCCTTGGAACTTGAAATTCAACGCCCTAGGGAGAAGTCTCCCTCATTCTAGTTCAACTTGGACACCGAGTGCCTAGAGATATCCCATTGACCTGAAATGATTGATAGGGAAAAATCTTGCGGAGCTGAAGTATAATCAAAATTAATCATAATCGAGTTTCCTCTTGCAGCTGCATTAGAATCAGCAAGTGTTGATGCAACAGTGCAATCGCTTGGACGATAACTACATAATTTGACATTCTCACCAATTACACTTGTGTTCACCATAGACGTGCACACACACACAAACACTGGCCACAAACTAAGGGAACTCACACAATTATAGCTCCATGGTCGCAGCAAAACTTCCAAACTACCCGAGCACGTTTGGCCTTCCTTTTTCACTCCTCCGCTTGAACACCTCCCCGGCCTCACCCGTCACTCCAGTCCTCCCGGCCTCGAGCAGGAAGGGCGTGGCCGCCGGCACTGGCTCGGTGATCTGTTCGAAGGCGAAGCCCGCGAACATCGCCGCCTGCGTGGCCATGGCGTCGTAGTTCCTGGCGCCCAGAGCTTTGCCGAGTGGCGTTGCCGTTTGGGGAGAGTGTACCAAAGAGAGGGCTCGGGTTGTTTTTGCTGTACGAATGCTAAACAAATGTTTCAACAAAGAATGGGATTGAAGGCTACTTACTTTCTGCTTTGCTGCGAATGGACACATTATATGTTGACACCCGGGTCGGCCCGCGTCTTGTGAGAATCTTGAGTTTCTTTTGGATGTAAGCATGTCTGGTCGAGATGTTAGCGGCGAAATTCTCAAAAATGCCAACAATAACATCCATGAACCTCACCCTCTTCGGTTTCTACACACCGGCCGTGGACCAAAGAACCCGTCCTAGTGTACCAATCAAGCTCCATTTCTCGGATTTCGATCGACTCCTTGGAGACCTCGCAACAATGCGGAGAAGAAAACAAATAGAATGGGTGTTGGCAAATCGTCAAAAGCTTGATGATCATGAAACTAGCTTATTCAATATTAGGACACATATATTGGAAAAAAAAGTATATTGTGCAATTCTGAACAAATGGAATTACGATATCAGCAGATTCAATACATCAATTTACGATCTGAATTTGCTGGTGCATCGACCATTTAACATGATGCAACTCTAAAGCGAAAGGGGTTACAGGAAAACCATCTATTTGCTGAACTGGGACCATCGATGAATGGGATATGATATATAACTGGACAATGATCATGAGGTCTCAAATGTTGATTCTTGAGCAACCATTCCAAACCCCCACTGCCATACAGTGAACGGCTGGGCTGCACTCCCATTTCCTTGCTGAGAAGTGAGACGGTTCCTGATTTCTTTGCTTGCAGGCCCATGAAGGCACTCCAACCTGTGATGCCTGGAAAATGTAGGCTGGAATACTGGATGCATCGCTCGACCAAGATTATATATATATATATATATACATCAATCAAAACATGAACAAGAAAAAACATGTGCTGTCACTAGCGCTCCCCCTAGAAGCTGGCTGACACATACATCCAAGCAGCATGGGTGATGGCCGCATTCTTGTAGATCTCAGGGCAAAAAAACAAGTACTCAAAGAGGGATGAATCCAGAAAGCTACATCAAATCAACTGCAACTAAGGGAACTCCTGTTCTAAGGGTCCTTTAGGAGGCCGAGAAGGGGTACCTAAAAGAATCCCAGAAGGGAGGGCCAAACTCAAGGCACCTAAACCACCAAGAAAGTCATTCTTTGATTGCGAGCTGTGTTCGAATTGAGCATCAAGGCATGTATATATTCTGTCGTACGACAGGTAAAAACAATGGTGTGACACTCCCCCTCAAAAGGAATACAAATTAATTGCACTATCACTAAACCCGTCTAAGCCACGACTTGGGATGTGTGTCTCAGCAGGGGAGTGAGGCAACTTCCATTCGACAAGCATGTGTTGGAATTCGTAACAGCTCCTCACAATAATGGTGTTCATTGCCCAGCTCCGCCTGCAGCATCGGCCTCTGTGGACGAAAGATGCGGTTCGACGCCGCTCACGTCTATTCGCGAAGGTGACGACGGAAAGCCGAACAAGATCTGGGGGTTCGGACCCACGATGTCTTTTTTCGGGAGAAAGACTTGGGTCATACTTGGGTCATGACTGGAGTCAGACCCGAATCCCTCCGGTGGGAGGTGTTCAACGAAAACAAGAAGCCACATCACACAGACCTATCGGAGGACACTTGAAGTCGCTCAGGCGCAAACCGCAGATCTGCCGCAGATCTAAGCCCCACGAGATGTGCGGGACAAGCTCTGTTGGGACAGGCGTTTGACGGGCTGTGCTCGGTATATCTCGGTATTGCCCTTGTCTGGTCAACAAAGGAATCTATAGGTTGGAGGCCCTTGCTATTAGGTTGGAGGCCATCGCTATTAGTAGCAAATTTGGAAACTATGGGAAAGTGTGTCTTAGTCGGCGAGGGTCCCAGGTCCGCACCAACAAGCTGGGTTCCCAGCGTATTGTTTTGAACATGTTGAAACATGGAGGCGTTTTGTCAAAAACAATGGAACATCCTGGGCTTCTCTCTTTAAGATCAGGTTTCTCCCTTTATGTGCTCAAAACAAGTCCTCCCATCTAGAATCTAGCATCCTCTGTTAGACTACAGTATATAATGGTGTGCAAATATATAGGGATATATAGCGCCTATAGAGTGAGCAAATTGTGCAAACAACCAATCTGCCAGCTTCATCTTGAGCGATCATGAAAGCAGAAAAGAAGCTGCTCTGAGCCAGGAAAGCCTCTGCAGCTGCAGGCTTGGAAAATCATTTGTGGAATGTGTAGTCTGTCTACTTGAACATGACAATGGATCCACTACATAGATCTGAACTGTTGCATTTCTCAGGTTGAATCCGGGCCTTGTGTATTTCACTGCAATCATCCTCGTGGAGAGTTCCTATTCAGGTTTTTCGCCCACAGCCCATGGCTTTCTCTGTGTTAGGAGTGGTGAATCCTGGCAGGCAATGACACTATGTACAATGTCCCTCAGAACAACTGTTGGTGACAAAAAACAGGCATACGTCTATGGGTAATTACCGGGGGTTGAACCATCATCCGGGAATGACGCTAGGCCCCCCCCTGAGGGCACCATCCCAATATCTTGAAGAAGTTAGGTATTCTAATACACAAAAACGTTTTTGGAAACTCAACCACGTCATTTGTGACCACCGTCCAAACCCTTAAATCTCTGGATCAGTGGAACACAGTACAAAAAGTCCCCTTGGAAAAACCATAAACAGCTGGGAACATTACCACACAGAACCGTCAGTTTTGATGTTGTATTGTGAAACAATCACCAGCCCAAACCTCAAATTACCGTATCGTACAGGGTTCTGTGGGTTTCGAGGTTTTTCCATGATTTCAATTTAGGGAAACCACAGTAAGCCTCGGAAACGCAAAGAATTGTTCATCATGAACGACTCCACTTCAAATTGGAATCAGTTATAGGGAGAATCACTTGTTTGTTCAGTAAACCAAATATATATATATATATCACAATTATATATATATATATACACATCACACAATGTAAAACTGTTTCAAACTACAAATCATGCGAATACCTTGTGTTTGTTCTTCAATTCTCCCCTGGCTCACCAACTGCCGGCCTCGCAAAAGCGTCGTGCTGCGTCCCCGCCCCTCCCCCGAGCCACCTGAAAGCATCGTTGATGAGCCGGACGAAGGTGATTCTGCTGTTGAGGATCAAGACTTGGATTTCACTGTCACATGATTTCAACTTCCTCCTCTCTGAGCTGGTACCCTAATGTACCCTAGCACTGCTAGGCCCTAGCACTGCTAGGCCCTAGCACTCGAATTCTGCTTGTTTGGGGGATTGATCAGGGACTGGGGTTTCAACCCACATTCATGCAGTTGTTGAAGTGTGTTCAGTAGGAAACACATTGTATCTCAACATCTGCCAATTGAAACACACCCAAATTGACACCTGAGAATGCCTTGATGGTGCAACACCATCCCTTCTCATCACAACAATTCTGCATTTCCAGGAGCCCAAGATCTGATCTGACACTGCTCAGTCAGACCAGTCACACCTTTTCTCATGGGAACATGATGGAACATGGTGTGACTTGAATGCCCGGTATATTCCAACAAAAGGGAACTCATATTTTTCTAGGATTTTTTTTCGTTTTTTTTTGGGATTTTTTTTCACGTTTAGGCATTAGGTATCTCTGTTGGCTTCTGGTGACTGGTGGCTTCTGGTAGCTTTTGCTAGCTTCTGTTGGCTTTTGCTGGCTTCCGGTGGCTTTTACTGGCTTTTGGTGGCTTTTGTTGGCTTCTGTTGGATTTTGGTGGCTTCTGGTGGCTTCTGGTGGCTTTTGGTGGCTTTTGGTGGCTTCTGGTGGCTATTTTGTTGGCTTCTGGTGGCTATTTTGTTGGCTTCTGGTGGCTTTTGGTGGCTTCTGGTAGCTTTTGCTAGCTTCTGTTGGCTTTTGCTGGCTTTTGTTGGCTTCTGGTGGCTTCTGGTAGCTTTTGCTAGCTTC